TATCACAATGATTCTCCACTAGAAAGACTCATTTTGAAATTCCACATTAAACTTGCTCAATTTTAGAAGTTTTATAAAAATAATAATTTTGTTAATAATAATAAATGTACAAAATTAATGTACAAACACTAAACCTTTCATGTTTTAATTTTGTAGTTTTTTTTTAATTGTTTTTATTAGCAAAGTGTTTTTTGATGGTGCTATTGTCAGCTTGCACATTCTTAAAGATGTAGCTACAACTTAAATGATTAAAGCAAATTTGAAACCAACAGTTGCTGTTTTTTGCACTTCTTAATGGTTATTAATTCTAGAAAAGCATATACACTGGAAAGGCATTTGGCAGTACTCCTACCACTTCTGTTCAAATTGGGTTATTTACAAATAATGTATATTCACTCACTCACAAGTTAGTATAGATTTCTAGACTATCGTGGAATCTACATATGTTCAGAACAAGGAATCATTAAAAGTTTAATCCATTTTTAAATGAGCTAAAATTCATAAATAATAATCTATATTACCATTTTGTTTACTGCTTTAAATACTTATGTTATGATTCAGTTGTACCAGCAACCTATGTCACAATATTTTAACTTCCTCAGCTCTGGATGTTTTTGTCAGTGGTGAAGCACGAAGCTACACATTGGGTTATCTTTGCTTTTCCCATTGCAAATATCAAATCCATACTTTTTAGCATTACAAGCCAACAAGAAATACTGCCGAGCTTTTTTTTTTGGGGGGGGGGGCTCTGTATGGTCACCAACTTGATAACATTCGTGTTCAGTAAGTGAGATATACTCTATTGTATCTTTAATGTTACTTACATTAGCAGTATTGGTTACATTGTTTAATAAATCTAGTTTTGTTATTTTTTTTACCTTTTTATTATTATACTTTTAATTAGAGACTGTTTTGCACTTTCAGCTTAGTACACGCATTAAGCCTAAATCACCTAAGCCGAAATAACCTTGCAAGATATTACTGGGTTTATGGCCATAAAATATCATTAAAGGGTACCCAACTGATGAAACAATGCATTCTAATGTTTAACAGGCAAGAACACAGGAGGAGTGTATGTGGTTAGCTCAATGCTGGATTGTTGCTAGTTTTTATCTAACTTCTAAGTAAGTTTGTTCTGCTCAACAGTGCATATGAAATACAAACAAGGAACTAGTTTTAAGTTCAACAGATTACACAGTGCAGGATTACAATTTACAGTACAAACGTCATAATACATTCCTATTCGTAGTACTAGCAATACAACTAGACTATCCTAAATAATACATTTATACTAATTTATAGTATAATATACTTCTTTAAGTTCTTATGCTGACAGTGATTCTCTCACTCAATCCTGATCCTAACTGGTCCTATGTCATAACTTTAAAAGCTTGAAATGAACAAAGTTAGGCCTAGCACTACTTTAAGTTTAATACTTATCACTGTACCAATTACTCAATTTATTGTATTATTATTACTCTAGTGACAATACTACTACATGTAAGATGCTATATACCGCAAACACTGAGTGAAACAGAAAGCTAAAAGTATATTTATGACATTCACATTCTATACATAATTACCATTTTGAATACTTTGTAACTTGTAAGTGTAACTGTAAGTTTCACTAAGTCAGAAGACAATTACTGCTGCCTAACAGTAACTCAAGGTAGCTATAAAAACCTAGTCCCAATATCAAACAATTATAAAAGATACGCTGTTTGGGTCAGTTAAACTTTTGTTTTAATTTTAAATAAAGTTTTAGTCCAACATCAAATTTTCCCCGATCTCTGATGATTTTATTCCCTAACTACGTGAATTCACTTTTTCAGATTCAAGACAAGCACGCCATACATTTCCAACTAATAAGTGATTAATAAGGAAAAATACTAATAAATCGAACAATACTAAATAACAAATAAAACGTGCTACTTTGCATAGAGACATCTCAAACCACTTAATATATTCTTTGATAATCAAACTACCTGGAAGATGTTTATTTATACAATAAAATGCCACTAAGTTCAAGGTTTCTAAAAAAATATAAATAAATAAATATATTTCCAAATGTAAGGAAATAGCTTATAAAAAAAGTTAGATTACTGTTATTAAATATGCTAAGTTATCTGTTTTTAGTGCGTAATGTATCGGACTGTTAGATATATTTTAAAACATAATTCACAGAACAACCGATAAGATATATAGGACAAGCAAAATGTCTTGAACACAGAACAGCTTAACATGGTCTTCAAAATCACTTAATTAAAATTGAACCTATAGTTCAAACTGTGACAAATCCGATGCCTCTACGAATTATTTCAAACTCTGCAAACCAAATAGTAAAAAATATAGGTATAAGGGTGTATTCGATACAAGGTCTTTCTTTTTTTCTTTTTCTTTTACATAGGTTTCTTACAAGGAACACTTTCACAACATTCTTTACATTGATATTCTAACCATTTCCAGTAATTACAAATAGAATAGTTTTGTCACTGTTAACGCGTAAAAAGTATTAAACAACTAATTTGCCAGACTCCTAGTGGTTCAACGATAAGTTTTAGGGCTTCTAATGTTAAGCCCCCCAGTGAAACCGCGGTATGTCTGCGGACTTGCAACGCTAGAAACCAGGTTTCGATAACCATGGTGGGCAGAGCACAGATAGCCCATTGTGTAGCTTTGTGCTTAACTTCAAACAAACAATTCTAACGTTAAAATATTGGGTTCATTCTGTAACTTTGCGTTAAAATTTATATTAAGCACAAATTGGTCATTATTTATAATTTTCCAAATTAGGTCCGCTATATACTAGGAAGTTCGGCAAGATATCTTACAAAGTAATATTGAGTTATTCTGAAATTAATTGAGTCTGTGGAAAGAAAGAAAGAAATAGACTGGAAACAAGTCAAGCGTATAGGACATAAACGAAATAAAACAGCACTGTTTGCATATCACCTTTGGACGACTGACAGTCTCCTTTAGTAGAGAGGTAATTGACAGTCTGGCGTTAATCCCTCAAGATTTATTCTAGACTGACCAACTCACTCGGAATTCTGTTTCAGACTGACTAAATCTCACTTTATTTAGTTAAAATGGTGCCGTTAGACTTATTCAAAGCGACTAGAACTACCCATACGACTTGTCATTTTCATTTGAAAATAAGGGAGTTTGTAAACTCGAAATATCACATAACTTTCCGTTGAATAATACAGCTGTCTACTTCCAGACTCAAGGAGCGGTTTTACAGCTATACTTTCCATGGTTAAACCAGGCGTCATTTCAAAGAAATGACTGAGAACAAAGGTAGCTAGAACGCTAGCAGTTTAATGACTTTTTTTTAATGGTATGTTTAAACTGTACATGAATTTCACTGAAAAATCCAGGTTTCGATACCCGTGGTGGGCAGAGCACAGATAGCCCATTGTGTATCTTTGTGCATAATTTAAACAAATAGACAAATCTTTTTACCTAAGCTTATGCTTTTGTCTGAGGACTGTATAATGCACTTTCTCATAGAAAGTATTTCGTGTCTACAAAATTCTTAATTTTTTCTCAATTACAATTTTGAAATGCTCTAAATCTGGTTAAGATTACATGCCAACTTCGACCTGAAGTGTTACTTTTTGTAGTCAGGCCATTCGATTAATCTATATACTGTTTCATGGGATAACTTTGCGGTAATAAGTTTTGATTGGTTAACTGCAAAGAGAATGTGTATTGCAAACGTAGTTTGATTCATTTTTGAGAGATTGATCCTGATCTTTGACAAGAATAGTTCATCTTACTGAAAGAGTCAATCTTCACTGATGAAGTTCAGTTCATATGCTATAACTGCTATCTCTCCCTCATACTGATTGTGCAAGTTCATTTCACTTAACATCTAAATACAGCTTGCTATACTTTTTTATTTTCGCTTTTTCACAATACAATAGTTCGCACTCATAATTAGCTATTGTTTAATTCTTTTCAAATTTCAACATCGTATCTTGTTTCTGTCTCATTTCACCTGCAACAAATACCTACATCTGAGCATATTAGGTTCGCGAATCTCTCGTTTGTGAGAAGATCATGTAAACGTATGCAAGTATACCGTTGAATTATTACAAGATAAATGTTTGATCCCGTCTTATATATATTTTATTAATCAGTGAAACAATAGATTATTATGCACATCTTTTACTGGAATATCAAATGAATAACTAGATTTAATGAAAAATAATTTAAGACGTTTGGGGTCGTGATATGAATCCACGTGATATGAGTTAACGTAAAAGGAATGGTATCATATACATGCACTTGAAATTGTTTGTACTAAACAAATCAAGTATTATTACGTATTAGCCTGAATATTTGTATTGAAGGTTGTAAAGTAAGCAAAAATGTAAGAGATTTTACAAATATTGGTGAAAACAAAGTAATCATCATTATTTGAAGCGAGGAAAACTTATTGTAAGCGATAATTAGTATGTTTATTAAACACATAAACCAAAACAGGGAACGATGTTCAGTTTAACAGCGAGAGTATTTTGTCTGGATACATAAAAAGAACCTTTACACGGAAGTGTTAATGAGCAACAGCTAGCATTAGCAACACAGCTGTTGTCTATCAAACCTGCCGCTTGGAGTGATGCCGAATAGCCTCATTACATTTTCTGTGCTGAGTGAACTATCTTAGAGAAATGTGGTCTTTGGATGATTGGTTTGGTTTTTTTTTAATTTCGCGCAAAGCTACACTAGGGCTCTCTGCGCTAGCCGTCCCTAATTTAGCAGTGAAAGACAGCTAGTCATCACCACCACCCCGCCAACTCTTGGGCTACTCTTTTACCAACGAATAGTGGGATTGACCGTCACTTATAACGCCCCCACGACTGAAAGGGCGAGCATGTTTGGTGGGACGAGGATTGAACCCGCGACCCGCAAATTGTGAGACGAGCTCCCTAACCACCTGGCCATGCTGGGCTTATCTTTGGGTGAAGTAAGAAGCTTTCTTTGTTAAGCAGGCCTACTTTCAATGGAAGCCACTATTTCTTCTTTTATTATTATCTTAGGTTGAAAGTGAAGATAAGTAAATATGAATGTCGTAGTAGAAGAATACGTGTGTTTTGGGTTATAAGATAAATAAAGGAAGGTTATCACAGCCATGTTTGACAATAAAATATGTTAACCTTCCAGCGAAGTCCGAGTTACCTGACTATTCATTCGTTGGTTTTTGGTTATTTGTGTTTTTGTTGGTTCAGGAACATCCTACGAATTATAAGTGGTTTATTTGGATTGTGGTGTTTTTGTTAACTCATACTCAAATAGGATGAACATTTTTGAATGGCCACAAACTCAGACACAAAGTTGTTGATTATCCCACTTGGAAAAATATTCATTATGCCCTCGATGCTTTTTCTGTTCTTCTTAAAACTTAAAACCTTTCCTCTCATAGAGTTTTGCTTGTGTGGTCCCCTCCCAGTCCGGTCTCTAAGGTCCATTTTTTTTTTACATGTCGTTACATACTGGACATAAGCACCAAATTTTGCACAGACACTCTTCGGGGCTTACCAATCAATATCAGAAATAGTGCCACCTGACTGTGGTTCTGGAAGGCTATCATTTCTTTTAAGATACATCGAGAATTGAACATGACTTAAAATAGGGCTTTTAAACTTAGTCCTGCAATGATTATATACTAAATGTTCGATTTTCCTTTTTAAAATATGTCTCTTTTGAGTCTCATATAAGCAGATATACCTTTCAAAGCACAAATAGCTACCAGTGATGAATTTATCTAATATCTAAAGTCCAAAAGTTGATAAAATTCAAGCTTGGAGGCCACGTATACATGCTCTGAATTATGAGCCGTACAAAATTTAATTTTCATTAGAACAGTTTTTTATTAATACTGGGAAAGAAATTATTTGTTTATGAACAAACTCATAACTCATCATAACAGTATCTTAGTTATGCCTGTGATAGTCAAAATGCTTGTGTAAAATATTGTAAAAATATTTGCTTTGTTTTGGATATGGAAAAGAGAAAGTAGAATGAATTGGGAGGTATATGCCATTTGCTAGAAAGGTGGTGGAGACCTCAGATGTCATTCAGATTCTCACCAGAAAAACTGACTTGAAGCATACACAAGCTTCCTCCAGAATATAGTAGAGTTCAAGGAAGTGGATACATTGACTTTTGAGGTAAACTTTAAAGAAGATAGCATAGCACAATTATTTCAAAAATACAAAGCAAAATAGCGCAAGTGTTGCCATTTCAAGATTGTATCTTCTAAGCTTCAAAGAGCCAGAGAACATTTGGAAAAGAAATGTAAGCAAGAAGCTAATAGTGAAAGTCAGCAAATGTCAAAACGCCAAGCCACTGAGAGTCCAAACCAGGAATACTGCATTTTTTTTCTCAAATGCATCTGGTAGACTGTACCATTGCTCAATAATGAAACTAGATAATGATATGAGGGTCATGGCCACAGAACTCCCAAGATGCTGCTTTGATGGCAAGAATTTCAGGAGAGAAAATAGTGGCCATTGAGGCAAAATGTCACTTTGACTGTCTCACAAATTACAGAAACACATACAGAAGTGCATAAAGAGCAAAGCCCAGTCCAAAGGAAAGTGATGACGAAAGACTTTTGTGGCCATTGGTTTTTTTCGCTGAGTTAGTATATTGAAAGCAGTCTGGAAAAGGGTACCTAGATATTCAAGCTACCCGAGCATACTGCATGTATGTGGAACATCTTAGAGGTGTTGTAGTCAACAAAACAATACTCAAGCTATAGGTGCTTGGCAGGTTTGCTGGAGAGTGTCAGGAAAAGCCTGATGGCAAAAATGTATTGTTTGTATTCAATGAAGGTCTAAAGA